CACACACAGTACACGAATTTCGTGCACCGGGCCACTAGTTCTCTAATAATTGACATAAAATGCTGATAAAAACTAATTTTCATGCTCTGGATATTTAACCCTTTGTTTTTATTATGAATAGTAGGTAGTTCTTGTTGCTGATAAATATTTGAGACACTTTAGGCCCTGGCCAGGTAGCTCAGTTGCTTAGAGCACCTTTCCGATATGCCAAGATTGCAGACTTCATCCTCACTCGGGCCACATACAAGAGTCAACCAAAGAAAGCATACAAATTTGAGGAACAACCAATCTCTCACTCTTGCTCTCTCACTCTATCTAAAAAAAAAAAAAAAAAAAAAAAATCAATAAATAAAATATTTAAAAATATATTTCAGACACTTTAAACACAGTAAGAAATGTTAAGTACAGAGTGCTTAGCAAGTGTTTTTCATTTCTCCCATAAAGGGAGCAACAAGCACATGTTTGGTTTTACTGGTTCCTTTCCCTTCTGTTTCTCTTGTTAGTAATATCCGCTGTTTCAAGATTGATCAGCCCTCGGCAGGAGATGCATCTGGAGCCCCAGCTGTGTGGAGCCATGGCTACACCGAAGCTTCAGGAGTAAAAAACAAGTGAGTGGGTGAAACTTAGGAATGAAACCCTCCTGCTCCCCTTCCTTCTTTCATGCGGTAGAAAGAAATCCAGTGCCATCACACACTGGCCTCACGTGAGGTTTCTCTGAACATGTTTCCCCAACGTGAGAGCATCTCCTGACTTACATTTGAACATTAAGCTAAGCCCTACTCAGCATCACATACTTTCTCTTTGTGAGAGATGTTGCTGGGATACAGTGTAACTGGCACATTATATCTACGTGAGACTCCAGTGTTTAGAGAAGGCATAAGCATTGAAATGCATCCCTGTGCGTTTTAAAAGCCCCTTTCTCTTTCTCTGAAGCCTGTTTTTCCAGCAAAATGGATCGTGTTAAAGAAGTACCCTTGATTGTCCACATTTGATATCATTTATGTTATTGACCAGTTGAGCTATTTCTACTTTTGAAATGAGCTTGGCAGGAGTTTGATGTCTGTTTTCTATAATGTCAACCTCTTATCTTGCCATCAGGACATGTCCATCTGAATTTCTTTTTCTTCCTTATTCTCACCAACCTTCCCTGTTTTGTATGTAAATGTTGATTTTCCTGGGAATTGTAATCTAGCTCTTCAGGTTTGCTTGCTTTTTATTAAGAGGCGCTAATATAATAACTAGTACTAGAAAAGTAAAGAATCCTATAAATTAGAATAGTCACAATTTAATTAGCTGGGCCCTGCTCTGTGCATGACAGGGGGCGGTGCCCCAACGCCCCAAACGGCCCTGCTCTGAGCCCGACCAGGGGCTGCACCTAGGGATTAGGCCTGCCCTCTGCCACCGGGAGCAGGCCTAAGCCAGCAGGTCGTTTTCTCCTGAGGGGTCCCACACTGCGAGAGGGCACAGGCCGGGCTGAGGGACCACCCCTCCCGCCCGAGTGCATAAATTTTTGTGCACCGGGCCTCTAGTATATTAATAAAGCAATGATCAGTTAATCTCCTTTTTACATAATCTCTCCTTCCACAATTACTTTTTTGAAAATTTTTCTGTTAAAGTGTAGCTAGCATAGGTACAGAAAAGTACAAAAGTAATAAGTGTACAGCTCTAGGAATCATCCTAAAGTGAACCCACCTGCAAATGACCACCTCGACCAACAACTGGACGGTCACCAGCACCTCAGAAGTTCCGCGTCGCCTGGCCCTCACTTATGTCCCTTCACCTTTTTACCTTTGGTTTTTCCAGTGGAAGCTTCTCAAGTGTTTTGTTTTAGATTTGTAGATAGAGGGTTATGTGAACAAGGAGCTTGCTGCTTGCTATTTTGAGGAGAGGTGAGAACTGTGGTTGTCTCTCCCTACTGGGTCACTGCAGATCCTCCAGGAAACGCAAGCTGGGAGCTTCAATTGGATAAGTTAGGTTCTTCCTCAAACTAAACAACAAATGGGAAACTTCAGAAAAGAAAAATTACTGTACTTTTTTAAAAACATCGTTTTCATTGGCCCCCCCCTCCCCATTTTGACTAGCAAGGAGAGCTTATAGAGGAAAGACAGAATTAGAAGTTGATTTAATATTAAGTTTTACTTTGCCTCTAATTGCCATATAACTTGGAATGACTTACTCTTCTGAATAAATGAAGGCAGGAGTTGGACAGTGCTGAGATAAGAGTCGGGCTACAGTCCCTGCATCGGGGCTCTGTGCTTATTTGCTGTATGACCTTGGGCAGTTACTCAACCTCTTTTTGGCTTAATTTCCTCACCTGTAAAATGGCACTAAAAATACTACCTGTGCTCATATGGTTGATGTCAGGATGGCCTGAAGTACATAGTGAAGGTCTCAGAATTTGAGACCATTCATATATTTTTATATACTTTTCCTATGTTCATATTGCTTCAGTGTTTTGTTGTTACTCCATTTTTGCCCGATGTGGAATTTCTCTTAATAACTTTATGTGAATGAATATGGTCATATGGATTTGTAATCATGTTATTTCCCATGTCTCTTATTCTCTTTTCACTACCATTTAAAATAATTCATCAGGAGATAAGGGTCCAGGAAGCCATGTGTGAAGCATGAGCATGCATCAATCATTCTTCTTTGCTTACAGACATTAGTTGATAAAAATTAGCTGGGGTTCATTGACCTATTCTTAATCTGTCTGGAGTCATGAAGAAAGAGACTGGGATAGACAAGTCTGCTTGTTATAGAGTCGGGTTGGGCATGGAGAAGGAAAGATTGGACTTAGCACAAAAGCATTCTTGCCTTGCAGGTTGTGTGTGGCAGCCCTGTCGGTGAATAACTTCTGTGACAACCGGGAGGCTCTGTATGGTGTATTTGATGGAGACCGGAATGTGGAGGTGCCCTACCTTCTCCAATGTACTATGAGTGACATTTTGGCGGAAGAGCTGCAGAAAACAAAAAATGAAGAAGAGTACATGGTCAATACATTCGTTGTCATGCAAAGGTAAAATTAAGAGTCTCTACTGTATGTTTTCTTGTTCTTTGAGTGTTTAGCCTCAGGTTAGAAAAAACATGTCCAGTAACCTCAAAGCACTGATGTTGAATATGGGAGTACAAGATGCATTCAGGTGCCCGGCCAGTGTTTCTCAGTGGTTGAGCATTGACCTATAAACCAGGAGGTCATGGTTTGATTCCCAGTCAGGGCACATGCCTGGGTTGCAGGCTCAGTCCCCTGTGAGGGGCATGCAAGAGGCAGCCAATCAATGATTCTTTCTCATCATTGATATTTCTCTCTCTCCCTCTCCCTTCCTCTTTGAAATCAATAAAAGTATATATTTATAAAGATGCTTTCAGGCAATTTGGTTTCGCCCAAGCATCAGGAATGGACTGTGCTCCCCGAGACATACGGATGTTTCAACAACTTTGTAAGAGGCCACATCAATGACAGGAATTTAGTTTCTCTTAGAATGACCTCACAGGCATGCCATGATTCCAGGTTTTCACACTTGCTTATGACACATTTCCCACTTTCCCCAAGTCACGTGAGCTCCAGAGGCTCCTTAGACCTTTTGATGTGTGGACTTCTCTTTGAAAGAGACTGTTCCTGTCTCAGGTTGTTCACCTTTATAAAATACTATGACTGGTTCGAGACGGTGCAGTCCTTTGTAAACGAGATGTTTGAAATTTAGGCCGGAAGTTAAATCATTCTTCATATGTTGTTTTTCCCCCTTATTAAATGTTTAAGTCAGTGTTACTAGCAGAATCCTACTCTGGAGCTTATGGTCACCATAGAAATTTTAGAATAATTGTAACTCTTAGGGTTGAATGGTATAAGAATTCCTTCATTCAAAGGATTGCTCATTCTTTACTAGCTTTGTACATTGTAAAGACATTGCCTATCTATTAATATTGTACTCAAACACTTGCCTATGTGGGATCAGGAAGTGAAGAGTGCTCTAAAGGTCATGGGAACAATGACTATTATTTCTCTCCCTTGATAATCTGCCAGAGGAAGCATCTTTGTAATAGGGGTAGAAAAAGTATCTGCTGAGGAATAGTGGGTTGGAGAAGGCTGTAGAGTTTCCCTAAGTCGTGAATAATTGTTTCCTCTTGAGGAACTCAGTAGAGGCAGCCCAGGGAGGCTCTTTGCTGCTACACTCACCTCTGTCTCTCAGATTTTTCAGTGGGCATAGCTAATACCAATGAGTCTTACTTTGTACTAGTCATTATTCCAAATACCTCAGTGCTATAAATTGTACCCAGTGGGATAGGTAGTATTACTGTTCTTATTTTACTGGCTGGAACTTAGGGGAAGAGAGGTGAAGTGCATTGCTCTAAAAGCTAGTAGAGGATGCAGCCAGAATTCAACCTCGGGCAGTAAGACTCTAGAGAATGTTTTAACTACCAGGGACATATATCTACTTTTCTGTTTTCACCCCAGCTTGTTCTTGCAAAAAAGCAAATAGATAACATAGACATACATGCACACCAGCCCCCCTGACCCACACACACACACCGTTTGCACACCCCCAAGAGTCTGCTTGTTACAGACCCTCCAGCACTTAATAAGAATTAAAAATGTAAGAACCTTGAACTTGGGTTACCAGCTGTACTTCCCACAGATGCCACCCTATTTCTGGCCTTGCTCAGATCAATCATGTGCCTTTGAAAGTATGAAAGTAGTGCTGCATTGGCAGGGCCTAGTGCCGAATCTGCCGTGGATATCCACAAGTTGGGGTTTGAGACCCAAACCACTGGCCCATCTTTAGGGTCATTCGTAGGCCTCTTATTTTCCCTGTTTGTTAATAGGATTTGGGCTGTGTGACCTTTTCAGTTCTTGGGAGAATTGTTGTTCTTTGTGTGTATCATGCTAGTGCGTGCTTGTAGGCAGCCCTGGCTTCCATGGCTAGTGTTGCCACTTGCTAACCTAGAGGAAAAAGAGTTGGGAGTACCTGAGGATCTGCCCTTGTAAACAGGCATCTGTTTGTCTTCACCTTGTGCTTCTGCACACTCAGCATCAGTGGGGCCTGGTTGGCACCACCATTTATGGGGCTAGAAACAGGAGTTCAAGACCCCTTGATTGTTGGGACTTGATGCTTTGCATAAGTCAGTGGATTGCTGGTCAAGAATAAAAGCTCTGTGGAGCTTAATTACTAGAAAGTACTTTCTGTGAATGTTCTATAATTGGCATTACTGATCCAGCAAGTCTACACCATCTAAAGCAAGAACATGGACTGTCCAATATGTCAGAGCTCCTCCAAGTAAACATCTGTATTGCAGGGGGAGAGGGTGGTCAGGTGCTTTTGAGGTTTTTGTGTCAGTGGGTGTGGTGTTTGCACCTGCTCCTATTGAATTGGTCCCTGCAGAGTTCCCCTCCTGTGAGCAGAGGGGGGTTAGAGAGGGGTGGGAGGGCTTTCAGTGGTCACTGGCCACTATCTCTGGAGTGTGCTGACATGGGGGTAGCAGACTGGACACAGCCACACAAGGTCCCTTTACTTGCACATTAGCTCTGGGGCTTTAGTGCAAAGGGACACTTTGCCCCAGTTGTGAGCAGACCCCTCTGTGTGGGTGTGTATGTCGATTCCACGGGCTCTTTTCCTCTGAGGAGTTGAGCGGTGCCTGCTTTGGTGAGAGCCTGACTTGAGCCCCCAGGTTCTGTTTCCTCCTTGCCCTGTTGAATTAGCAAGACTGACACAGACAGGCTGTGTTGGGTTTTTACGCCCTCTTTTTGGATTCTAGGAAACTTGGAACTGCTGGCCAGAAACTTGGAGGTGCTGCTGTCCTTTGTCACATCAAGCATGACCCTGTGGACCCAGGAGGATCCTTCACCTTGACCTCTGCCAATGTGGGCAAGTGCCAGACGGTCCTCTGTCGGAACGGGAAGCCGCTGCCTCTGTCCAGGTCATATGTCATGAGCTGCGAGGAAGAGCTGAGGAGAATTAAGCAGCACAAGGCCATTATCACGGAGGTGAGGAGAGAGCCACTTTCCTCAGATGGTGGGAAGACAGGGCTGGGGTCTGCAGAAGCCAGTTCCGAAACCCTGGTGTCACATAGCAAGTTCTTTTGTAGGATAGGTGTGAAGACATTATACTGTATAGAATAATAAACCATTTATTGTTGGCCTCTGTGTGTCGGGCTGTGCCAGGTGCTCCGTGGCGCTGTCCCATCTGGTCCACATAGGAGATACTGGTTTGCTTGGTGTTGAGGGCTCCACCCCTGAGATCACACTGTTGGTATCCCTGTCCTCACTTTGGGGCTGGTGGCGGTGACCTTCAAACCTTCATCAAAGTCTCAGTTTCCTCATCTGTAAAGTGGGAACAGTAGTATATCTGTCCTTAGGCTACTGTATCTGTAGAAATGAACTCACTCATACTTTGGGTCATACCTCCTGTCCCATCTGAGTAAGGCAGTGAGTGCTTTTCAGCCAGGGACCTTTTTTCCCCAATGGGACATTTCGCAATGCCTGGACACATTTTTGTTGTCACAACTGAGTCAGAGAGTGCTTAGGGCAAGCAGAGGCAGGGATGCTGCCAAACACCCTCCAGTACACAGGGCAGCACTGCAGCAAAGAATTGCTTGGCCCAGCGTGTCAGTAGCGCCCCTGTTGAGAAAAGTTGACATAAGTCAGTCTGCATTATAGCAAGATATGTTACAGCACAGCTCCACATGGGCACGAGCAGCCGAGCTCCACTCACCCACTCATCGTAACGGTATTATCGCCTGGTGGGCCTGACATATGGCGGGGATACAGATGTGACCCTGCAGATACCCATCTGCCACAGGAGGTGTCCAGTCTGTATTGTTGAAAAACCCACAGGCCTTGTTTAACCGGTAGACAGTTCAGTAGAGATGAGTCTGTTGGGTCCGGACAGGCTCTGATAAGAACCATGAGGAAGATAGAAAAGATTTGGGATCCACTGTGAGACTCTAGAAATGAGTCTGTGGGTTGGTTTTAGTTCCCTGTCTGCCTGTCTGGGAGCAGAGAGAATTAAAGTAGATCATAGACACTCTCTCGGGCAGCAGAGACAGTCTAAGGTGGGACAGATGTAATTGAACTAAACACTCAACATTACACCATGCAAAGATTAACAATTTCTGCTGCATAAATGCCTCGCAGTTTGTGCTTCAGAACTTTTCTCTTATTTTCCCTGCCTCTTCTCACTTTTTAAAAAAGATACATATATTTTTTTATTTTTGATAGTATTACAGATGCCTCCCATTTTCCCACCCTTCTCCTCCCAGCCCCTACTCACCCCTCCATCCCCCAGGTCTTCACCACCCTATTTCCTCCTCACTTTTGTCTGCATTGCTGATTTTGTTGCTTCTCTACCTTGAGGCACACTCACCAAACACACACGTGCACACATAGGCGCACACAGACATAAGACCATTGGTCCTGATGGGGGCAAGATCTAAAGCAGGGGTCCTCAAACTTTTTAAACAGGGGGCCAGTTCACTGTCCCTCAAACCGTTGGAGGGCCGGACTATAGTTTAAAAAAGAAACTATGAACAAATTCCTATGCACACTGCACATACCTTATTTTGAAGTAAAAAAACAAAACGGGAACAAATACAATATTTGTATTTGCATGTGGCCCGCGGGCCATAGTTTGAGGAGCCCTGATCTAAAGGATTGGGCAGAACAGCAAGGGTAATTTCTGGCCAATTCCACACTTCAGGGAGCAAAGAATTATATCAATAGAGTCGAGGGAGCCGAAAATTGTGCTTGAAGCCTCATTTTGGTTATTTTCCTTCTAAGAACTCTGCCTGCTCATGAGAGTATCATGGTGGGATTGTGTGTGGAGTCTCAGAAGGCACCCCTAGAACACCAATCAAACACCTCACAAAACCCCACACAAAGGAAGGAGGTAGGGTTGGGAAGGAAACGGCCATTCTTTGGAAGAAATAGCTTTAGGGGACCATCTCTGTTACCTCGTCCTAGACACACACACTGCTGAAAGTTTTATTTGTCATCATGAAGCTTCCCTGGCAAAGTTAAAAATAGGGTCATGGAGAGGCACATTACGGACCTGAGACCCTCAAACGTTAATAAAGAACTAAGCTGTGCACCGGGGTCACCCCTTCCCCCTTCTAGTTTCAGAGTAAAGGTCTTTAACCGGCAAATGGTCTGAAACTTTGGCTCATGATTTAAATGGCATGAACCCAAGTGATCTGAAGCTGAGGGACTTTGTCTTCTCCCTTTGCCATCAGCAAAGTGAGTTCTCGGAAGTGATGGGAACTGGCCCTTCTCCCGCGGCATCTGCCTCTCTCCGGTGTGGGCATTCTGACCTAGTGAGTCACACCGAGATTCTCCCCCCAGTTATTTTTTTTACCTTCATAAGTGTAAAGCAGTGTCTCCTGGGGCCCTGTGGTTGCTGGACTGCTGGAGAGGAATATAAGGCATGGGGCATTATTTTGACCAGACCTGCTGTGTCTGCTCAGGACTGGCTTGTTTCAGAAAGCCCTTTCCTGTGGCTACAGAAGCGTCCCCAGGTGCTGTGACAGGCTAGATCGCGGTTTGCTAGAACCCAGTGTGAACGTGGTCCCTCTCGCCCCTCCTGTTTCTGCCCTGCCCAGGCCACTGCCCTGGTTTCTGATGAGAGATGGATACTGACCACTCATCAGAGGGAGAGCAGTCCTTCCCTTGGGCACACACAGTGCTCTCTCTGGGGTCTCCAGGCAGGAGACCCAGGGAAGTTGCCACGTGGGCTCTGTGTTAATGTCTGCTTGGAAACCCTTCTTCCAGGACGGCAAGGTGAACGGAGTGACCGAGTCCACGCGCATCCTGGGCTACACCTTCCTCCACCCCAGCGTGGTGCCGCGGCCCCATGTGCAGTCCGTGGCCCTGACACCCCAGGACGAGTTCTTCATCCTGGGCAGCAAGGGGCTATGGGACAGCCTGTCCATCGAGGAGGCCGTGGGGGCCGTGCGCAACGTGCCCGATGCCCTGGCTGCCGCCAAGAAGCTGTGCACCCTGGCCCAGAGCTACGGCTGCCGCGACAGCCTCAGCGCCGTGGTGGTGCAGCTCAGCGTCACCGAGGACAGCTTCTGCTGCTGCGACCTGGGCGCGGGCGGAGCCGGCCCACCGCCCAGCCCGGGCATCTTCCCGCCCTCGGTCAGCATGGTGATCAAGGACCGGCCGTCGGACGGGCTGGGCGTGCCATCGTCCAGCAGCGGCATGGCCTCCGAGATCAGCAGTGAGCTGTCCACCTCCGAGATGAGCAGCGAAGTGGGCTCCACAGCCTCGGACGAGCCCCCGCCCGGGGCCTGGAGCGAGAGCGCCCCCGCCTACCCCGGCGAGCAGCGCTGCCTGCTGCACCCCGCCTGCCTGTCCAGCGCCTTCCAGCGCCAACTGTCCAGCGCCACCTTCTCCAGCGCCTTCTCTGACAATGGCCTGGACAGCGACGACGAAGAGCCCATCGAGGGCGTCTTCAGCAACGGCAGCCGGGTGGAGGTGGAGGTGGACATCCACTGTGGTCGCGCCAAGGACAGGGACAAGCAGCAGCACCTGCTGCAAGTGCCAGCCGAGGCCAGTGACGAGGGCATCGTCATCAGCGCCAACGAGGACGAGCCTGGGCTGCCCAGGAAGGCGGACTTCGCCAGCGTGGGGACCATTGGGCGCCGGAGGGCTAACGGCTCCGTGGCGCCCCAGGAAAGGAGCCACAACGTGATCGAAGTGGCCACGGAAGCGCCTCTCCGCAAGCCTGGAGGCTACTTTGCGGCCCCGGCCCAGCCAGATCCCGAGGATCAGTTCATCATACCGCCCGAGCTGGAGGAGGAGGTCAAGGAGATCATGAAGCACCACCAGCAGCAGCAGCCGCCTGCGCAGCTCCCCCTGCAGCCGCCGCGGCAGTGCCCGGCCGACCCGCTGCCGGACTACTGCGACACACCGCTATGACCCGCCGGCGCCGCTTAATAAACTAACCAAGAAAGACGGAGTTGCAAGAGTCTCCCAGGCTCGCATTAAACCAGGGGTTAACTCCACGCCCTTCTCCCAGACTCTCTCCCAACCTGTCTTTGCAGCTAGTCTGTAGGTTCTTCCTGTTGGTGATTTTTAAAATAATTACCACTTTTCTTCTAGTGATGCTTTACCAATATGATTTAAATTTGTTAACTTCTTTTCCTAACATATCAGATGTGTAAAGACAAAGAACAAAAGGTTTAATATATTACAGAGAAACAGTTAATGATAATGTAATATTTTTTAAAATGGCTTTTTATTGTTTTGTTTGTTTGGAAGGCAAGGCAGGTTGCCAGTGCTCAATGATTTAATAATATTGTAATTCTGGGGGGAAAGGCTTTTTTTTTTTTTTTTGTCTTGAAAATGATAGACATTTGTAGAATATGGAGACTAACTCCTAGGAGTTGCTTTACTCTGTCAGGTGACTTAAGTCACTGGGATTCACTAATTTTCTCTGAGAGAACAGTTGATTGAGAAATTTCTATTGTAAATAGCTCCGTGTTGTATAGTGATGCTTCAGATGTTTTGTAGTTTTGGCATAAGGACACAGCCTAAACAACTGACTTTTCCCTCCCTCCCCTTCTGAGGAGCCTTCCCGCCCACACTCACCTCCTAATCCACATTAGTTCATTCGATGATGAGGCTGAGCAACGAAGAGCATTTCCATTCAAACAAGGTGCCTCTTAGGCCACTGGAAAGGAGCCTGCACCCAGGGGCCTCTGACCTTTCCCGTCCTCTCTTGCCTACCCAGCCTCTTCACTTTGCAGGCACTTTCTAATTGTGTTCCTTTCTGCTGCCACAGTCAGCATGATTGTAGAGTCCAGTTAGACCATTGACATACCAGCAGTTACATTAAAGCCGAATGCACAGATGAACATGTCATAATTTTTGTTATAATAAATGCAAAATTTACAAGTATTGCACTCATCTGCTTTTGTCTCAGCAGCCAGATGTGTCTTGCAGACCGTCATAATAGCTTGGATTTGGAGTTACCAGATATTTCTGCCTTTGGGGTTTTGTCTGTTTTTTGGAAGGGAAAAACACCCAACGGGACATGGACCTTGTGACTAACAACAGAAATAGTTGATCTTGCAGCCCTTCTATTTCTTGTTATTACGAAGGCTAGGTGTTATAAAGGAAGTAGATCGAGGTTGCATAGAGGAGATCCCTGGAAAACCTCCCACAAAGCCACACCCATTGTCGATTCTTTCAGGGGCCCTTAAGCATAAGAACAGGTTAATATATCTTTATTTGAATAGTGAAAATCAGAAGCTGGTGGGCTCACTCTCTAGCACTAGGACAAATCACCTGAGTGCAGTAGAGTCCAGTGGGAAATCCAGTATTCCTAGCTGACCGCTGGCCCATTTACAGACTGTAGCCCCCGACCCTGCACCTTGTGGACCACGTGTTGGTCTTCTCTGTCTCACGTGAACCAGCTTCCCAGAGGACTGTCTCCTCTTCCTTCTTCGGGTCTGCCCTTAAGTGAAACCTGGATAGTTTAGTAACAGGACAATTTGTTTTTCTCAACTTATGGACTTGGTGGTGGGCTGTCTGTCCCTTTGCTTGGTGGTCAGATCTGTGACCTGGCCATGTCTTGGTACTGTCCATACTTTATTAAGTGTCAGGATACGTGCATGTCATGCTCTTTGAAAACTGCTAAGGCCGTGAAAGAAGGTAATTTCATCCCAGTAAGGGACAGTGACCAATGGACTAGACCGTAAACGGTTCAGGCCCAGGCTGAGCTCTTTGCTCTAGACCAGCCGTGGGCAAACCACGGCCCGCGGGCCGGATCCGGCCCATTTGAAATGAATAAAACTAAAAAAAAAAAAAAGATCGTACCCTTTTATGTAATGATGTTTACTTTGAATTTATATTAGTTCACACAAACACTCCATCCATGCTTTTGTTCCGGCCCTCCGGTCCAGTATAAGAACCCATCGTGGCCCTCGAGTCAAAAAGTTTGCCCACCCCTGCTCTAGACTGTCAGCCAAACCGTCTTAGGCTGGCCGTTACCTGCACCTTGCCTTCCTCGGTCTTTGCCCTGCTCCAGGTGGATAGGAGCAGGCTTGGGAGGCGCTGAGTTTCATACCAGTGAAGACCTGGGCTGGTGTCTGAGATCCACAGTTCTGAAGCCCTCTTTGGCCAGGTTCATTGTTGCCTTAGGTGACCCAGACCATCTGTGGATTTCCCTGCAACTCCCTTCCAGAGGGGTCAGCATTTACTTCCCTGATTGTGTTCAACTGAGGCAGCAGCAAATGGGACCATCAGGTGTCCTGTGGAGACCTCCCTCATTTCCTACCTTCTGGGCTGACATGGAAGACTGGGCACAGCTTGTGCTGGTTTTTTCCACAGCCCACCAGTTCAGCCGGCGCTTGCTTCTGTTTATTGTATCGTTAAGTCACAGTAAGCACAACTACATGTAATGTACTGTGGAGGTAAAGGACGAAACTTTACCCTTTGGAGCTTGGAGTAAATCAGCATGTGGATGAAGAGACAACAGGAGCCTGTTAAGTGGCAGAGGCAGAGCCATACTAATAGTCTTCTTGCTCTTGCCTGGGAGCCTCGCAGGCATTTTCTGACAAAGAGTTTCTTTTCACTTCTCATCATGGTGGCATCTGATAATATATACAAACTGTGAAGTGCTTACTACTTAAAGGTCCCCAAAGCCAAGGAATCTCCAGAGTGAATATGAGGCAGAAGGGCATCTCTGCCTGCTGGGAGGGGAAGGAAGAGGTAGGAGCAGAAGCTTTTAGAAGCTCTGAGAAGGTTTGCAGCTTTGCTAGTAGACTCAGCCCCAATTGAAGAACCTAGAAGTTGTTAGGTGTCACATCAACCACGTGTGTCCACAGAATTGTAACTTTGAAGAGGGCACTAGGATCAGTCTGGGAGCCAAGACTCTCAACGTGTCTGAAGTCCATAGTCTGGTCTTCAATCCCCTGGTTTCTCTCGATTGCTTTTGTCACAGCACCACCTGCTGGCGAGGTTAGACTGTGGATGGAAATGGCCTTAATGTTTGTTCCTTCTTCATCCTCTAGGCTTCCAGAAGAAACATTTATGTTACTTACTTTCCTAGACACATGAAAGCAAATCCAGCACTATTCAGGAGGTAGAAAATTCTAATTAAACTATTGTTTTTGCACCTGTGGAAGTCTGCTTCGTTAGGCGGGACAATGGATGACCACTCTTTCCTGTGATGCACACTGTTTTCCCATGGGAAATTGACATGCAAACATGTAAAGAGGTGTAACCGGCATCATAGCATTGACCTGGGAGTCAGTATCCCCAACATTCATCCAATTCCCCATGCCCCAGGGTGAGAAATACATAAAAATCCGTAATGTCCTGGCACTGCCCAGTGAACATTTCCCATTTGGTCATGTGATTCCCATGCAGACACTCATAGGAGGCATTGTGAATTATTCCCAACCATCAGGAGATAGAATTCTTGTGAAGTGTGGGGGTTGTGGTATCTACCCTACCTACCTCCCCAGTGATAAACCAGGTCATGCTTTGGAGGTAATCTGTGGATAACAAAGCCTTACTTAAATGGAAGTATTTTTGTCATTGTTGTAAGTGAAGCATTAAGGATGGCTAGAAAGAAAATAACTAGGAACACAACAAAAGTACCTTTTTAAATTAAAAACTCTTAGAGAAATAGCTATTGAATTCTTATGTACAGTAATAGTAGAGAAAATAGCTTTTTCTCATTTCTTGCCATTGAGTTTTATTTTTCAATTCAGCCCCAACATAGCTTTTGTGCAAATGGATCTTTGCAAACTTTGTTCTATTTCACTATTGTCATTCATTTGAAAGATGACTTTAAAGTTTTTTTATTCCCCACCACCAAAATACCAAAGTTGCAACCAAGGCCTTAATTTGGAAAGGACATTGCTTGATCACTAAATGAAAGGTCTTGAGGGTGATGGGGGACGGGGAAGAACCCTACATATTTTCCCCTGCCTTCTAGAAAACTAAGGTTGAACCCTTGACAGGAGTAGATGGGCAATGGATCACCGAGACTGCCTTCCATCTTCTGGGCTGTGTCATAAAGTAGGAAATAATGCCGTTTCCCTGCCCTGAATTGCAGTGCCCAAAACAAGCACTGCTTTTGTTGGGCTCCGGTTCATTAGTGCCTTCCTTTTATTCCAGACTAGAAACACAATGTTCTATCCTGTTCAAAGGGGGAACAGCAAAACATTTGGAGAATTTTCTCCCATCTGCTTATGACTATAACTCCTCCATTATCATACCTCTCTTTCTCTAAAGACGTGGCAATAAAACGTTTCAAACTGAAAATTCAAGTACTTTCTACTCATTATGATTTCTTAGGTCTTAGTCCAATGGACTTGTACTTTCCCCTAATTACTAATCTTACCTATTGAAAGCATTGAAATAGCAACTAAGGTAAATTTTCCAAATGTCGCACCTCCAGATGTTGACTTTTCTTGCGCTCACTTGGAGGTCATTTGCTTTTCTGAGTCTAAGAAAACTGTTCCACAATTAGCATATGGAGGTTCTTAAATCAGTAGAAATTGCCCTGCAAGCCAGGGATAGATCATGCACACGAAATATTTTGTTTTATGATCTATAATACATTTTAAGAACAACTTGAATATTTCTTTTCCAAGAACATGTCAGTAGGTTAAAAAGAGCTCATTGGAATGTGTGTCACGTTCCTGCCTCCCTAAGCACAACCAGCCATACCTTTTCCTCAGGAGCAGTGACACTGAAACCACCATCTCCCACAGGTAAACCCATTAGGATGTTTTTTCCTAGAAACTTTATTAGGCATGCATTACAATGCTGCCTGCATAGCATTTGCATATAATTTTTATGTCAACATTCTATGATGACTCCACTCTTCACTCTTTAGGATATTACTTGAATTGTGTTGTGTTGGGTTTTGTCCTATTCTTTCTCCATCACTCGAAGGGATGAGCTGGTGTGTGTCGGGAAAGAGGGCAACGAGCGGGAACGGTGAACCTACCAGTGTTACCGGAGCACTCTGCCTTTGCTGTCCCCTCAATCTAGTCTGAGCATCAGAGGGTGGAAATGACCTCGAGAGGTTACCGAGTGCCTGCTTCTAGATGGAATCCAAGCTGTGTCGCTCTGCTGAGTGGTTTTTTGTTTCTTCCTCCTGAAGCTCCAAAAATAGAGGCTCCTTAACTTCCTCCATAAACCGCGCAGCACCTGCATGAACAAGTTGAGTATGCACTCTGTGCAGAAGTGCTGGGGTGGGCGGAGTGCAGTGAGATGAATAAAAAAACATATGACAATCCACCATGGGGGCACATATAACTAAGAATGCAGGGGGCTGGGGGAAGGCTCAGGGAGTAGACTTGCACCCAGTCTGAGATGGCCAATGGGCCAACCCCAAGTTCAGAATTCTCTAACTCCCAGCCCTGCGTGTGGTCATTGAGAATCAGTGTTGTGTGAAGTTCTTCCTGTCACCCAGTGGCCTTCAAATTTGTCTGTCTATGACTTCCTGAGGGACAACACCGGCTTCCCACCTCCAATGAAGACTGGCTTCCCACCTCCCATGTTGACCACTCCCCGCTGCCTCCTGGACACCTCCCTCCCAGCACTTCTGCAAGCCTGACGCTGGCAGAACCTGTCATCTGTCACCAAGTCCTGTCAGTTCTGCTTCCTGAACCTTCCTAATGGAGGAGAGAGACAACAAATAAACATTTTTTAGATGAACATGATTACTTCAGAAAATAGGAGGGTTATGGGATCAAGAGTGATATTTAAGAAGACAGACCCTAGAGGAAGAGAATCTTAAGCAGAGGACCTGCACGCGCACAGCCCCACCCCCCCAAGGGAGGGGACACCAGGGGAGGGGGGGAGTGAGACATCCCTCCTCTTGCCCCTGGTTCTGAGCCAATGAGGAAATAAGACAGAGACCAGCAGCAGGGGCC